GGTTTTTGCTATAGGGTGTGTGCACTCACCAGAGAGAGAAGAGAAACAGAGAGACGAAAAGTGAGAAGTCATTCCCTGGGGGGGTGTGAGAGGGAGATGGCCATGCTGCAATCTCTTCTCCATTCTCTTCCTGGGATTTTGGGCATGCATGCACACGTGTCTGGTATGATTTTCAATCCACTTGGCCCGGGACTAGAACTACAGTCAGCTATATGGGAATGTGGTGCCTTAACCACCATGCCACCTGTTGGTCCCTGTATTCCTGCTTTAACGAGATATCATAAGCCTTCAGGACCAGCAGATGGTGTGATGGTTACATTACTAGACTCCCAGGTAGTCAACTGCAGTTCAAATCCTGGACCCGGCAGCTTAAAACTCAAGCTGGGCACATGTGTACATGTGCCCAAAACCCCAAGAGAAGAATAGAGGAGAAGGGATTGCAGCATGGCCATCCTCCCTGGGGGTGATTTCTCACCTATGTCTTTCTGTGTTTCTGGCAAGTACACATGCCCAAAAATCTCTCTCTTAAAAAAAAAAAAAGGTATCATAAGCCCTCGAATGTTTCTATTAGAAAGAGTAACAAGACAGTGAATGCTGTAATAAATAAAACTTCTGATGTGAGTATCTGGAGGATGAAGAAAGTTTAGAGACCTTAACTGCACTTCATGGCATGGACTACATGGAGCCATAGAGACAGCAATGACCAGATGGGTGTGGGGAAACTGATCCTTACCCCCAATTCTTGACCCTCCTTATAGCCATCTTTTTGCCATGAATGTACGATGGTCAGAGTGTGTTTTTTGTCTCTTGACTGAGTGTTTGCTCATGTGACCTGCTTTAGCAAGTGACATGCAGGTACGAGTGACAGCGTGCCAGCTCTAAGTCCACACAGAAGAGGTAGCCTGTGTATCGCATGTGCTTGTGCCCTTTTGCAAAAGGAAGCATGTCCTCACTGGCTTGCGGGGCCCATAAGGAAGAGGGAAGATGCACGGAGCAGTACTACTCCAGTGGACCCATCAACTCCTGATCAAGGAAGAAATGTTTGGGAGTCAGCAGGTGGCATGGCATGGTGGTTAGGGCACTGGACTCCCCTATGGCCAACCATGGTTTGAGTCCTGGACCTAGCAGGGCAGTTTGCTTTCTCTCTCTCTCTCTCTGTCTTTCTCTGATGAGCACATATGTTCTATGACAAATTAAAGAAAATAGTAATAATAAATATAATTAAATAAATAATTCTTAAAAAAAAGAAAAAAGAAAGAAAAGAAAGAAACAAGAAACGTTTGGCCCAGCCCGGTGTCATATGAACTGCAGTGCTCCAAGCTACGTGGCCAGCTGCAGATCTGGGTCCTCTGTCAGGTCTCCCTGAAATGCACTGGGCATGGGATAGCCGAGGTCTGATGTGCTACAGGGAGGGGAAAGGAGGTTGGGGAGTGACAACACCTGTCAGGGATAGTTTTCTTTCTTTCTCTCCTTTTTTCATGCACATGTGCTTCACCATAAATAAAATAAATGAACTTAAAAAACAAACAAACAAACAAACAAAAAAACACGGGCCAGCAGATGGTGTGACAGTTACATCCCATTCTCCCTCATGGCCAACTGTGGTTCAAGTCCTAGACGTAGTGGCTTTTAAATCACCCCCGTCAAGTCCTAGACGTAGTGGCTTGAAACTCACGCTGGGTGTGTGTATGTGCGTGCTCAAGATCCCAGGAGGAGAATGGAGGAGAAAGGATTGCAGCATGGCCATCCTCCGTGGGAGGTGATTTCTTACTTTCCCTCTCACAATCTCTGTTTCTTTCTCCAATGAGCACATGCGCCCTAAGGCAACAACCTCTACACACACACACACACACACACACACACACACACACACACAAGAACTAAATACTTATTGTTGACTGCCACTGAGATCTTATGTTGTCTAATATCCAGCAATCATTGGCTGATACAAGGCTCTTTAAAAGATGCTGAATGCACCTGGTACTTAGAACAACAGTGCTTTCCCGGCTGTACGACTTGGAGCTAAATTAGGAAACAGATGGTAAGGAGGTCTCACTGAAAGAAGAATATAAGCACAATATATCGAGCATCACTAAATCTTGCTCTAAGTCTAAGATTTATCTTTCTAAAGACTGCAATTTGGTATTCTCAGTTCTCCATAATGTAGCCATAACATGTTTTTGTTGTTTAGAGGTTTTTGCTATAGGGTGCGTGCACTCACCAGAAAGACAGAGAGACAGAGAGATAGAAAGCGAGAAATCACCCCTCAGGGGGGATGGCCATGCCGCAATCCCTTCTCCAACATTCTCTTCTTGGGATCTTGGGCATGCACGCACACATGCCCGGCGTGAGTTTAAGCCACCAGGTCCAGGACCCAAACCGCGGTCGACTACATGGGAGTACAGCGACATAGCCATTATGCTAACTGCTGGTCCCATAGCATGGTTTTCTAGCCAATTCTCTCCCACTTATATTTTATATTCATTCAAAATGGATGATTTATCACCTGTAACTATGTCTCGCATCACCTCTGGCCTTGCCTGATTTACCTTCTGCACTCTTCATCCAGCTGGTTTAGATTTTTCCAGTTTTTTAAGGTCAGGTTCAGCCGCCACCTCTGAAAAATCCACTCTGACCCTGCCTGTTCAGGCAGACTCCCCATCTCCCTGACTCTTATCATGATGTGTGTCTCTTCCTCTTAAGATATTTGGCTTATCCTGCCTCAAAACACTTTATCTTCTTATAAAGTTGTAGGCAGCAAGGCTTATGGGTTATTTACCTCTGTAATCTCCATGGCATTTAGCACAAAGCCTTACACGTAGGACGCAGGCCAATCAATACTGTTTAACATTAACGAATGTGTTGCCAATGGCAAGCAGCAGGGCATCAGGAAATGAAATGGAAAGAGGAAGAATTCGGAGTCTGTGCGATCCGGATTCTACCACTTAGTAGCTGAACAACCTCAGACGCGGTAGCCTTTCTACGCTTCACTTCCAAACATGGAAATGAAAGTAAGTGCCTCACGGTGCCCGCCACGTGGCTGCTCTGTAACGGGCAGCTCTATGACAGAAACAATAGTGACACACAACATCATGTAGAAGTTAAGCAAATCACCGAGGTCAGGTTATTTTCTCTTAAAAGGTAAAGGCTCAAGGGTGACAAGAATGACTCTTAATTCCAATGAGCTGTTTTCCTGGAAATTACGGTGTCAATCTGGATTCTAGCTGCAAGATGCTCAGATACATGTTCTCCTTCAAAGTTCTAAATTCTATAGGTAGTTGCCACTAGAAGCAAATGTCTTCCAGGGAACAGATGTAGCTTCTTAAAACAAAACAAGATTCCCCTTCCCATACACACTGATCTACTTTTTTTTTCTTTTTGGAGAGGTTTTTGCTATAGGGCACGTGCGCTCGCCAGAAAGACAGAGAGACAGAGAGACAGAAAGCGAGAAATCACCCCCCAGGGGGGATGGCCACGCCGCAATCCCTTCTCCTCCATTCTCCTCTCGGGATCTTGGGCACGGATGTACAAGCGCCCAGCGTGAGTTTAAGCCACCGGGTCCGGGACTCAAACCACGGTTGATTACATGGGAGTCCAGCAACATAGCCATTACGCTAACTTCTGGTCCCAACACACTGATCTACTTTTAATAAGACATTAGCTCTTTAGATGCATTTTCAATCCTTTTTTTTTTAAATTAATTTATTTTTAGAGAGAATTTTGTTTTGTTTTCCCCTATAGGGCACGTGTGCTTGCTAGAGAGACAGAAAGTGAGACATTACCCCCACCCCAGGGGAGATGGCCATGCCACGATCCCTGATCCTCCATCTTCCTCTCGGGATCTTGGGCATGCACGCACATGCACCCGGCATGGGCCTCAAGTCTCCAGGTCTGGGACTTGAACCGACTACGTGGGAGTACACCATTTGCTGGTCCCCCACATTTTTCAGTTCTTTACAGAGACAAAGACAACCACGAAAATGGACCAAAAGACAGAGACGCTAAAAGCAGAATTATTTAACAGTGATTGCTTTAATTGCAGTCATTTCTATGTAAACACTACCTCAATGAGGTCTCGTATTGAATAAGAAATGGTGTTTTTATAAATAAAAGTGTCATACAAATGTCAAATACAAGGAAGCAATGTTGAAGTCGTTCAGCAAGAATTAGTTAATCTGTCTTTCACTACCTGGTGTTTGAACACACATCTTTAGTTCATCAGACCAAGAGTTCACTGTACCACAGACAAACTCAAGATGAGTCTAACTCAGAAACCTTTAAGAGGTCAGGCGGGGAAGGCCAATGAGTGCCCTGGACTTGACGGGCATCCATGAGGGATGGAGGCTAGCAGTTCACTGGCTGAGGGTAACTGCCACCCGCGCTGCTGACGGTGACCTTAAGGAACAAGGACCCAGTAGTGTCAGATCTTCTGAACGCATTTGAGGTTTGGGGTGAAACATCCCGATTCTTACAGGCAGCCTTGCATTTTTATTTAAAAATTATCTGGGGGTGTCACATATATATTTGTAGGCCAGGTGTGGCCACAGGTGGGCAACGTGTGGCTTTCGCACTAAAGAGGTGATTATTAGGCTAGCTGTAGTTTTGAATCTGAAAATGTAAAATTTACTGTCTCTTAACCCTACAAAATACCTGACTTTCTCATTATAAATCCTTATTCCCTCCACTTTGGGACTTCTGTTTTAAGTCTTCCAGTCCTGCCCCACTGAGTCGGCCCACGGCTGTTGTCCCACGCACCTATTTAAATCCTACTAGTTCTCGAAAGCTTGATTGAAATGCTAGCTCCTCAGAAAAGCGCCGTGATCCTTCTCAAAGCCCCCTCCGTGTAAATTACGATGTAAATTACCCAGCGCACAAGACTGGCACTGATTTCTATCAGGTCTCATCATGCCTTCAACCCCAAGTGCGTATCGCGTCATCACAGCGATCGCACACTGCCATGAGGAGTCAGCAGGACAGGAGGCGCGTTCGAGAACACTCACCGCCAAACACATCTCCATTCTGGTAGCTTTTCCCCTTCTGGGCGTCCTCTTCATTTTGAACAGTGGCAACATGCTTGGCGGAGGCACAGCCCATAGTCTCATTCGGTCAGCTTCAGCCGGGCTGAACTGCAAATCATCTCTACAGACACGAGGACATTTTTCTTTTTCTTTAAACACAAAGAAAATCCACAGTAGCTGCTGAGCTGGTCAGGACGTGCACACCTGAAAGAACAGAAAGCCAGTTGAGAACGGGAGGCCCAGCACACCGCGTGCCTCAGACCGTGTGCTGTACAGTGTGACCATCCACGCACGGGATCCCTGCACAGCCCACCACACTGGGGGTGGGACTGGGCGCTGAAGAAGGAGATGCAACATGACCTGTGCTCAGCTCATTCCCCTGGAGCAAGCCAGATCAGAGAGCACGCTCTGCATGGCCGTGGCCCAGGGGTGAACTTTTGGAGGGGACACAAAAGACACATACTTATTTATTCAAATAAATCTTAAAATCTTCAAAATCTACTTGCCACATACACATTCTAAGTGCGTATAGGTTTGTTAACATTCTAGAATCTCAAAAGCCATCAGGGTAAGAAAAGCACATCCTTAAGATCCATCCACTGCAGAAGCTTGATAGCAGTTCTTCTCCGCCCTACCGACCCTGCAGGCCAGCTCCTCTCGGCATTTTAATTTTTCTCAAGAGGGACTAGCCTTCCTCTTCAGCCTGAGAAAATGAGCTGGTTCATACATCTCTGGTTGGAGTTGCCAATACCCCAGTATTTTATCTGACATGAGACGACCCTACCAGGAAGGACGAAGGAAGGCAAGGAAGCGGGTCTTGAACTCACTTTTGTCCACTTAACTAGCTGGTTGTTTGAAGGATTGAGCATATGTTGAAGAAAATCTAGTAACTTAAACATTGTAGTCTCAGCAAAGAGAATTTTTCAAATGAGCCTAATCAATTTAATAAATAAGCTTTGACACAAAGATAACGATCTCAAATTAAGCCAGGCAAATGCAAATTGCTGTAAGTATTGACTGTGGTCATAACCTTACTTCTGTCTATATCATTCTTCAGATTATGCTCTACCACTGGTTGTATGAAATCATTATTAGGAAGTATAGGGTTGGTTGAGATAGTTTTACAAACCAAGAAGGTTTTTTTTTCCTGGAGTTCTTGTTTATATCTTCTCTATATGTTAGGTTAAACACATATTAACAGCTTGTTACTTTCTTCTCAGTTTATTTTATTTATAACTTCTATGAATAAGAGAGAGACAGCACCTCGATGGGGTCTTGATGCCACGATCCACCCCCTTACCCAGCCCCAGACCATGGGCACCTGCACGCCCAGCACACTCACGGAGGCCTCCGCATGGGAACCCAGGACCTTCTTGTGTGTGTCAGCTTCACAGAGCATTGTGCCACCATCTGTCCTCCCACTTCTACTAACTTTTCTTCTTTTTAAAGCTATATGAAACCCCAGCATGTGGACAGACACACACACTCACAAACTATCCTATTATTTAGCATCGATGTGTTTAAAGCAATGCCATTTCTAGTTGACGGGCTATTTATACTGGTGTAGAGAGCTCAGAGGCCTGATGGGACACTTTTTAAAAACGCACAGAAAACAGCATAGTAAGTGCTATGATAGAAGTTCTGCAGAATCTATGACAATGCAGAATTCAAAAAAGTAGGTTAAATTAAGACTAGGTGGGGGCGGGAATTAAAAGAGGACGTGGCAAACTAGAAAACGTCCTAAGATAACAGAAGTCTTTCTGATCCAAGTCTGAGCACTCTGTGAGGACGTACATGAGGACTGTCGAAACCCATCTGTCAACCTCTTACAGTTCTTGAAGAAACATCACTGAGAATTAGACATGAAGCGCAGGAGAGGGGATTCGGTTTTCGAGGTAGGAGAGAGGAAAAATCCTCTCCTCCCGGGAAGCTGCCAGGAGTCCTTGCTGTTCCCACTGCTGCCTTTCTTGCTGCTGCTGCTGCTGCTGTTTTACACTCCCAGTTAGCGCTTTCCCAGGGCAGCGTCCCCTTTCTTCATCCCAGCATCATTACCCAGCACCTTCACCTCCTGTGAGCTAAGGCTGCGGGCTTCCAGGCAGGAACTCTTTACTTTAGGAAAAGGAAGTGTGGGAAAACAACCTCACACGTGGGCTAGAGAGGAGACTGAAGTGAGAGGGGAAACCTCGCCCCACCTCCCTGTCTGTTGACACCTTTTCAGAATAAACAAAGTAAAAATAGGAGAGAGACAGGAAATCCTAACCAAATCATAAAGTACACTGAGAACTAAGAGACGGACTTACACGTGGCCTCCAAGGGAGTCCTCTCGCTTTTCTCATCCTCATTCCAAGTGCATGCTAGCTGTCCCTTACCCTAGCCAAGGAGGAAACCTAAGACTCTCAGACAGGAACTACCCTTGCCTACCCTGCAGAAGCTGTTCATGGTGTTTCTTCTGTCTTTGGAAAGTTGTGTTCAAAACATTTTATCTGAATTTAACAAGTTGAAATGATAGGCAAAGCAAATACACTGCAGTAGGCTAACAAAAAATAAAACATATAAGAATAACTACTTTTGATTTTATTTTTTCTAAGGGTGTCTGTTTTTAAGACACTAGAGAAAGGGGCAAGTTAACAAGCAGATTTAGACATGATTTACATCTAATTCAACGGATGACTTAGGAAGTTGCAATTTAATCAGCCTTTTTTTTATTTTTTATTTTTTTTTAAGAGAGAGATTTTTGCTATATGGCTCATGCACTTGCTGGAGTGACAGAGAGAAAGTGAGAGATCACCCCCCAGGAGAGAAGGCCATGCCACAAATCCTCTCCATTCTCCTCTCAGGATTTTGTGCATGCATACCCAAGGACCCAGCATGAGTTTCAAGCCTCTGGGTCTGGGACTTGAATCACATTGCCATGTGGAAATCCAGCACCTTAACCACTATGTACCTGCTGGTCTCTAATCAGGTATTTTTTAAAAGTACTAGTGACCAGAGCCAGCAGGTGGCACAGTGGTTAAAGTGTTGGACTCCCACATGGTTGGTCAAGGTTTAAGTCCCAGACCTGAGAGTTTACTTTCTCATTTTTCCCTCTTTCTCTGTCTCTCTCTGGTGAGTGCACATGCTCTACAGCAAATTTAAAATAATATTAATAATAATAAATTATTATTTTTCAAAAGCACTACTGCTTAATATAGTTTTCCCTAATTCGTAAATAGGCATAGATTCTCTTTTTAAAACATACACACCATATATTTTACAGCAGTAATTTAATTTATTAAAAGAATTATTTTATGTAATTTTATTCATTATTATTATTATTGCTATTTTAATTTGACGAGAGAGAGAGAAAGCAAGCAAGCCACCAGGTCTGGGATTCAAAATGTAGTCCACCATGTGGGAGTCCAGTGCCCTAACCACCATGCCACCTACCAGCCCCACAGTAATTTAATTTTAAGAGTGATGTTTTAGGGCCAGATGGTGGCATGGTGGTAATGCAAATGGACACACACGAGAAGGCCCCAGGTTCACCTGCCGGGGCTGGCTACCCTGCAAACACACACATGACCCAGGCTGGCTGAACCAAGGGGTGTATGTTGGCATACAGATCCTGTTGGGGGTGCCTGTCCCTCTCTCTCTCTCTCACGGGAAATATCAATGAATTTTATTTATTTATATTTTTTAAGAGAGATTTTTGCTGTAGGGACTTTAGGCATGCACACACACAGGACTGGGATGCGAACCGCCGTCAGCCATGTGGGAGTCAAGCAATATAATCACTATGCCACCTGCTGGTCCCTAAATAAACTTTAAAACGTTACCAAAATAAAAGAAAAAAAGAGTGATGTTTTCAAGTTTTTCAACTTCCTTAAAATATATATTTTAGTAATTTACCTGCTTGAAGGTGTTAATTATGAAGTTATTTGAAGGACAATCTGTAATTTACAAAGTTAATCACGGATCATCAGGGCAGGTTTTTAGTATGTCACTTGGATTCTGTACATACACACTAGCCAATCGTTCATTAATTTAATCAACAGATATTTATCGATCTCTACTAAGTGCAGACATGTCTTTGGAAGACACTGGGCATTTAGTGGTAAACAAGACAAAATATGGCTTCCCTCTCTGTCATCATGACACAAATGATTGGAGAAGGAGATAATTAAAAAACCAGTTTTGTAGCAACGTGGTTATAGCTATGCAGGTTACATTGAGGAAGGCAGGGGTGTTCACCCCATAGGCACCTGACTCAGCTTTGGGAAGGGGGGTGTCAAGAGATGTCAGCTTCGAGACCTGCCCACAGCTAAAAAAAACCATCATCGAGACACCCATGAACTACAGCTCCTTTTTAGGCCAATACAATGTCAAGGTTTCCTTCCCACTGAAAACTCTTTCACTTAACCTCAATCCAACCGAGACCTCAAACTGAGCAGACCAGACTTTCAGAAACGTGTTCCTAAACACTCAGATCAACTGCTCTAAAAAGATTCCCTTTGGCTTGGACTATGCTCCTTCACATGAGCATTTTATTTTTTTTAGCTTCCATATTTACCTTAGCTTTGCTCAGCTTCTCTCTCCCAACCCCCACGCCCTCTATTCATTTACCTCTGAAACCACAGCACTCAGAGCAAGCCTGATGGTGCGACGGAGCATGCAGAGACCACAACACAGCGCACATCTAAGAATGTCATTTTCACATATTGTCATTAACAGCATGCTATTTCTGAAGTCACAGCTCACAGTGTGAGAATTAAACGGAAGCATCTCTTTGATGCTTGATAGACTCTTCAAAACTCAGCCCAACTGCGGTTTCTTTTTTTTTTTTTTTTAAGCTAAATAATCTATGCAATAGGATCATCAGGCATCTCTGAAGACAGGAGGTTCAATTAATTGCCCATGGTTTGGTGTAAACACCTCCCCCAATAATTACATTATCCTGGGCCACGTCACTGCGAAGTGTAATCATTAAGACGAGGGACTAACCTGATTCAATGCTATCCATCTTTATAGGATATTTTCCCTGCTTTTGGTAAAATATAGTAGCCAATTTGTAAATTCAATTCAAATTCAGAACAAGGATTAAAAGGTATAAAATCCCAAATGTTTATCCTTCCCCCTATACCATGACTGAAGCGCCTTTAGGTACCCTAAAGGGAACTACGGGTCACGAACACTTCAGGTCATGAGACCGTTCTCTCCACACAGTCTGGCTCATT